TGGGAGGGATGACGAGTGAGCGTAGTCTCTTCACCACTGACCAGAAGCGTTCTTGCACTGGTCCAGAGTTCAATGCAAACGACGGCCACTGTGCGCAGCTTGATGTATCGCTGCACGCGCGTGGCACTGGCAATGCAATTTGCCTGGGAGCCCCAGGCCGAGGACCCGTCGGCCACCCGTCGCCCGAAGAAACGATAGGCATCGAGCGGGTGGCCGAGCGCTCGAGGTGCGGGGGAGCCACTCCTCCCCACTCGAGAGAAGAAACGCTGTCCTGATCGATCGTTTATCGCCGATCAGGCACTCAAAAAGAATCAAACAAGCCACCTGGAATGCTGCGAGCAGACGGCGCCAGCTTCGGCACCGACGCAACCTTCATCACTGAGGCAGCAGCCGTCGTTGGAGCAGCAGCCTTCGTCTGAACAGCAGCCTTCTTCTGAGCAGCAGCCTTCGTCACTGGAGCAGCAGCCGTCGTCGCTGGAGCAGCTGCCTTCATGACTGGAGCAGCGGCCTTCGTCACTGGAGCAGCAGCCTTCGCTGGAGCAGCAGCGTTCGTCGCTGGGGCCGCCTCCTCCTCCTCCTCCTCCTCCTCCTCGCACGCCTCGGCCGACTTCTCGTCGTTGCTCTCGGCGTTGCTGTCGTCGTCGTCGACCTTCTTCCTCTTGGTCAGGCTGGCCTGCTCGACGTCCTGGGGCGCGGGAGAGAGCGGGATAACAATTGAAGGGGAGGTTGGCGGGATGAAGAGCGACTGAAGAACGCCTGAGGATTTGACAGGGCGAAGGGGATGATGAGGAGGGGGAGCTTTGTGGGAGGTTTGGGGGGAGAACAGCAGCCATTAATCACGGCTTGTGTCAGAGAGTAATACCACCAGTCTTCTGGGCGTAGGTGGTTTAGTTGGTTTCTTCTGCCACCCTTCCCTCCCCCCTTCGTGGAGGGGTTTACCCCTTCCCCCGTGCCCCCCACCCCTGACCTGGACGGGGCGTCTCGCGGGTCGTTTGGGCGTTCAACGCGGCCTCGGCGAGGGAGCCAACATCATTGGTTTCATTACGGCGTTGACCCCATGCTGGTTTTCGGGGGGCCCTCGAGTGGCAGCGCGAATTGCGACCTTCCCTTTCGTTGATCAATCTCCCCCAAGATGGCCCCAAGAGGACGCCCAGGAGGCGCCACGGGCCCAGAGGTTGCCCCAAGATGGCTCCAATATGGCTCCAAGAGACACCCAGGAGGCACCAGGAGGACCCAAAGCGGCCCCGAGAGGCCTACCCGCGGCACCCAAGACGCCCAAGAGCCCTCAAGGACCGCCAAGAGGCCTCCGAGACGTCCGAAGAGACCTCCAAGAAGCGGCCAAGAGATATCACAAGAGGCTCCGCGAGGCACCCAAGAGACCTCTAGCCCTTTCGCTTGCCCTCCTCCTGTTCCACCATGCCTCCTCCTACTCCTTGTTTTCCTCCTACCCCTCATCATCCTATCTATCTATCCCACTCCCTCATATATCTATCCATCCAGCCTCCTCCTTTTCTTCCTCCCTCATGCGCACGGTTCGGCCGTCCACGTCGTTGCTCCTGCATTTCCCTGAGCGCCTCAACTCGCCTGGACATCTTTTCTGGATCGGCTGGCCAGGATACGCGAAGCGTCTATAATAATAGTTGAGAGGTTGATTCATGGATTGGGATTGTGCAGGTGTGATTTTACCTGTAGTCCTTGGCAGGCCGCTTGAGCATCACCTCCTTGAAGGCCGCTGGGCGCTTCTTGATGCTGCCGCCCTCGCTGCTGAGGAACTCCTTCTTGGCCTCCTCCGCCGCCGCCTTGTCCATGGTGAGGCTGCCCAGCGCATCGATGATCCTGATCATCACGAGCTTCGCAGCCTCTTCGTTCTTGTAGCCAACCATCTGGATGTACTGGCTCATCCTCTCCTCAGGCTTGTACTTCGCGCCCCTCTGGCCGAAGTTCTTCCAGATCGTCATCCACCTCTTGTCCTTCTTCTGCACGAAGGTCAGCGTCAGCTTGACGCCAGTGTTCTGCTGCACGATGGTCTTCACGTGCAGGTCCGACTTCACCTCGAGCTCCGCTGAGTTCGTGCCCGGCACTCTCCATTCGTAGTCATCCCAGCGAGCCACCATCTCGCTCACCCCAGCGACGCGGACGACTGGCTTGTACTCGGCCTCCGCCTTGGGGTCGGCCTCGCTGATGCGCCACGCAGCCTGAGAGGGAGAGTTGTTTCGAGAGGAGATGGTACGACGGTGAACTCATCCACATCCTCCTCCTCCTCCTCCTTATCATCATCATCATCATCAGCATCATCACCATCACCATCATCGTCGTCACCACCATCGTCATCATTATCACTACCACCATCAGCATCGTGCGCATCAGAAGCTTCATAAGCGTAGTCATCATCACCCAGCAGCTCAATACGACCATCATCACCATCATCATCACCATCATCATCACCATCATCATCATCATCACCAGCATCACCACCATCAGCGCCATCATCACCATCACCACCACCATCATCATTATCATCATCATCATCGTCATCACCATTATCAACATCATCATCATCATCATCATCATCATCATCATCATCATCATCATGATCATCATCATGACCATAATCGAGAGTGCAAGCCTCGATGTTCTCCGCGAACCCTAGGCGCCAGCCGTCCTTGACCTCGAGCGGCACGAAGAGGTCGCTCTTGAGGACCTTCATGCCCAGTGGCCTGCTCCTGTTTGGCGAAGCCACTGCTGGTGCCGCAGCGCCCTCGCCAGGAACCTCCTCTTCCTCCTCGTCCTCCTCCGCGTCCTCGCTCTCCCCGCCCTCGATGTCTTCGTCCTCTCCCTCGGGGTCTGTCGCCGCGCCCTTGCTCATGAACTTTTGGCACCAACGCGGAGGAATCCTTGCTAAGGGATGCCGAACATGAGCGGGGGGGACTCCGATCGGAGGAATACAAATCTTCCTGTTTCTGTTCTTGCTCCTGAACATCCTCCTCATCATCCTCCACATCATCACATTCCCCCCTCCCCCATTCGACTCCATGCTCATCGAAAGCCACCTCCACCTCCATATATGTAATCTTATTCACAGTACCCTCAAACGTGCCTCTATATATATATATATACATGCATACATACAAACATACACACAATCTCTCTCTCTCTCTATATATATATATATTGTGTACATATTCCCTCTGGGTGTCCTGCTGTTGATGGCCTGCGTGACGTGTCGAACCATCGTGCGCAGCATCTTTGCGACGGTCGTGGCCCATTCCTCGGCCTCCGACGCCATGTGCCACGTCTCCTCCTTGCTCTGCGCGATCTCGAGCAGCGCCGCCTGCAGGGGGGCGGATCGAGATGCGAGATCGTCGTCGTCCTTGTTATCTTCGCGCTCATCATCGTTATCTTCGCTCCCCGTCCGATCATTATCGTCGCTGTCAATGTGCTACTTTTACTCTCCTTCCTCCTTCTCCTCTATCCTCCTCCTTCTCCTCCTTCTCCTCCTCCTACTCCTCGGTTCCGGTGGTCTCGTGTTTGTGACCCTGGCGGCCTTAGCTGCGGTCTGCGTCGGGCTCGGGCCGAGCGCAATCGTCGCCCGCAGCAGCTCCACGTGCTTCTCCAGGTGGCCTATGTCGCGCTGGCTGCCCTGGCCGCTGACCTTCGTGCAGTAGTCAACGCACGTCGGCGACTCGATGAAGGGCAGCCAGGCCTTCTTGAGCGCCTCGGAGTCCTTGAAGCACTCGTCGCGCGCCTTTCGGGGATGCGGCCGACCCCTGCCCAGCCCCTCTTTCCAACCTCTCCCTCGAGATTCGCCTTGACCAATACAGGCATTTTCTAAAACCTTTCAAGTCCTGCGTAGACCCCCTCGAGTCGTAAAACAAATCACTTTTGATTTTTTGGTCAAGGCGAATCTTGAGGGGGAGGGTAGAAGAAGGAACTGGGCAAAGCACGACTCGCACGACGAGAGTTCGAGGCCCCCTGAGGCCTCGATCTCGCACTGCAAAGTGGGCCCGAAAAATGCGAGCGCCCAGGGGCCGCATGTGCTCCTGGACGCTCACATCGGAGGGGGATGAGGTGGGTGAGGAGGAAGAGGAAGGGGGATCGTACATCTCGGTGGGCGGGTACGCCCTTACACATTTCCAGCTCACCCTCTTCGAACAGTTGCTGCTGCGCACTGCGCAACAGCAACTGTTGAAGAGGGTGAGCAGGAACTTTCTCTTTCAACGTCTTGCCCCTACCACCTCATCCCCCCCTCCTTTCAACTGGAGCAGTGGGTGGAGAGAAGCGAAGAGATGCGTCTCCGCGCATCTCTCCGCATCCTCTCCTCTTCTACATAGCGGGTGGGGGTGGGGGTGGGGGCAAAATGACATGAGGAGGCCTTCTGCTCGCCCTCGGCAGCAGGCCTCCTCTTCATGGCCGCCTCGCGGCCCGCGGCGCCGCGCGCCGCGGGGGCCTCTGGGCCCGCGGCCCTCGGCCCGCCACTGCGGTGGCGGCCGATCGGGGCCAGAATGGCTCCGAAGAAGGTAAGAGCGAGACGAGGTGGAGGGGGGTGCGAACGAGGGGGGTCAGTGAAGGATGTTCCGAATTGATGGACGCCATTGCTGTCTATATGATGTAGTGCTAAAGTTACATATACATATGTATATATAAGTATGTAGATAAGTATAAATCACACAGTACATATACGTATCGCATGTTAACCCAGCAATGCCATTGAAGTGTCGTGCGATATTGAGCTAGAACGCGCTTGAAGCAGAACGGACATGATTTTACCACGCTCAGCGCTAGCTAGAAGATGTACGGCCAAAAACTGGCCGTACGTCTTGTTTCTGGCCGTAGGATGTTCACGGCCAAAAACTAGACATATCAGACCTCAGGGTACGCGAGCCGTGGGGGCCGGCATCGAGCTGAAGCTTGAGAGCGTCGCCTTCCTCCCGCCCATTCCTCATCACGGGCTGGTGATCTTCTCTGCGCAGGTCGCCGCCCCGTCGGCGCAGGCTACGCGAATGCGCCGCACTACACGGTTCACGCTCGACCCAGGCACCGTCCTGCTGGCGAGCGACACCGAGGAGCTGCAGAGCCACATGGATGCCACCCTGCCGGCCTGCCCAGCCGCCGCCCCTCTCCCGGAGAGGTGGGGGCGATGGCACGCCCGGGCCGAGGGGCACTGACGGCAGCTGCCCACCAGGGGTGGGTATTACAAGACGGGGCCGCTGAACGCCCCAAGGGGTCCCTCCCTACCTCGCGCAGGGTGGCCACGACTCCGGCGGTGCGGCCAGCCGAGCCGATGGAGCTGGTACGCCTGAAACGCCTTGGTCGCCGCGTTGCCCACCAGCTCCGCGACCACGCAGACGAGCTCATCGCTGGCCCTCTTCTGCGCCAGTACGTGGACTCGGCCCTCCGGGGCCGGTTGACAGCTGGCCCGAAAGGCCGGCCGACACACGCAGAGGCACACGGCAAGATCTCGAAGGCCATCTCCGCGATCCAGCGGGACCTGCTCAGAGATCCCCGCTCCGAGTGGCGCCGCCTCTTCCAGCACTTCACGACGGACACGTGGAGGGCAGCCACTGCAGAGGTTCATGGGCCCTCCGAGTGTCCCAGTTTCAATGCCGAGGACATGACGGAGGAGTGGAAGCGAGTGTGGGTCCCGTCAGACCCCAACTACGACGAGCAGAGGTGCGCGGCCAGGTGGGAGCAGCACGCCGCGGAGGCGCACGAGCCCTTGCCGAAGACCGCCAACGCCTACGACGAGGTGTGGTGCCCCTCTTACGCCGACTTCCTGGTCGCCGTGCGCAAGGCCAAAGGCAGCGCAGGCTATGACGGTTGGCACTCTAGCGAGCTCAAGCTGATCTCGGAGCATTTCGAGTTCTTGCTTTTCGAACTCTACACGCTATGGCGGGACACCTGCGAGACCCTCCTGGTCGAGAGGCCCACCACCGAGCTCCAGCACCTCCTCTTCGCCTGGCGGGTTGTTGGGGTGCCAAGGAAAGACCCGACGCAGTCCCGGCCTATAGGGGTGGGCTCCGTGCTCCTCAGGGCCTGGCTCACAGCTTGCGAGCCCAGCCTGCCCACGCCACAGGACGCTCAGTTCGCCTGCAAAGCGGGCTCCACGGTGGTCCACGCCTGCTGCTTGTGGCTGCACGCCTGCCAGCACGGCTCGTGCGGACTGGAGCGCGACCTGTCCAAGTGCTACGACAACGTGCCGCATGCGGTGGCAGACGCGGCGCTCCGCAACGCCCAGACGCCACGCCGAGTGCGGGCGGTGACTAACGCTGCCTGGCGGGGCCCTCGGAGGAGCCAGGTGGCGGGAGAGCTGGCCAGTGAGACACTCTGGCCTACGCGCAGCCTCGCTCAAGGGGGCAGCACGGCGCCGAAGGTCCTGTGCCGCGTACTTTCCCCCTGGGAGATCAATGGCACCAAGTTCCTTTGCATGGGCGACAGGTCCGCCGTCTTCGACTCCGTCCCGCAGATGGAGTCGGGCGCGCAGGCCACCAACGCTTTCGACTCAGGCACGGGCGCTATCGAGAACGTCGGGAAGCGCCAGGTCTGGAAGCGAGGGGACAGGACGCAGATCGAGCACATCGGCATCCTCGCTGTCCCTGATGCTCCGGATGAGCCGATTACGCCTGCCGGGGGCTGGACCAAGCTCCGCAAGTGCTTGCACGCCATCCGAGGCCTCCCGGGAGGCAGCGAAGCCAGGGCCACGGCGGCCCGGGCCTACGCTAAACCGTTGTGGACTTGGTGTTCCCCGGTTTTCTCTCTGCCACCGCCCGACGTCGTCCCAGCAGCGATGTCAGCGGTGCTTTCGACGAGGTGCACTTGGTGGTGCCGAGGCCGTTTCTGGGCCTCGAATATCGACCTGCACCCCATCTTCAGAGCGGTGCTCACGGCCATTGATCGCATCACCACCTGGGACCTCCGCTGGAGTACATTCCTCGAGGTGAATTTCACGACGTTCTTCGATGCCATAGGTTTCGAGTTCCTGCAGTACGACCCAGAGCGCGGAGTGCAGTTCCGACGCTCGGTGGACGAGCCTGATGTCCGAGTTCGCCGATTGTGCGGGCGCAGACACATCTTCTGGAGCGACGAAGAGATGGTGCCGCACCTCCTTCGCCAAGTATGCCGGGCGAGAGCTCTTGCCCACGCATCCGCGTCTCGCCACGACTCGGAGGGGGTCGACCAGATCGACCTTGAAGCCTCCTCGGCACGAGCGTGGTCCACTTTCCGGGACTCGCTGACCCTGGAGGACAGGATCCACTTGAAGATCTTTCGCTGCGGAGCGACACACGGCCCGACGAGAAGATGGGGCGCCACCAGGCCTGATCTCACGGCGGCCTGCCCGTCCTGCGGGGGTCCCCATCGACCGAGTGCGCGCCGCTACGTGGCCGAGCGCGCCGCCCTGGCGGGTTTCCGGCAGGAGCTGAACGACGCGCGCCACATCCCACCTGGCTGGTGGGCACGCCAGCCGCGGGCGACGCTGAAGACGGGATGGATCACTTTCCCGGCTCACGCGTCCGCGGTCCGCAGAGCGGAGCTCCAGGTGGCCGTCTGCCGCATGGGGCTCGTTGCCATGGCGCAGATGGCAGAGGATTGCGAGGTGTTGAAGAGAGCCTAGGGCATCCGAGCGACTTCGTCCCGATGTTCGACTTTTACGGCCTGTTTTTCGACCTCCGCCTCTTCTCCATGTTCACGTTTCCCCCAGGTTCTAACTTTCGTTCAGTTGTTCCTGATGTGCAACCCGCCCCTAGGGCCGTACAACTGATCGTCTACGTGAGCGTTCCAGATGGAAAATTATGTCTGCTTCCATTTTACCTTCTCCTGAGAGAAGCTGAAGCATGTGATGCACGTTGGGAGCAGTTGAAAATGGTGGCACCGCCCTTTTGTAATTTCGTCTCCGTGGGCCAGTTCCACATGCCGACAACATTCGAAACCATCTTCCTGTTTCAGCTCGCCGGCCGTTTTGAAACGCCAGCAATAAGTCTTGCGCCACGTCCTGACGTCATGCCACAGTCTGCGCCGACGTCTTGGGAATCGAGGTAAGCTCCAGAGTTGGTTGGAAAGGGCCGCCTCCTGTTGGTCAATTTCATCGTCGTCATCATGTTTGGGGAGGGTTGCTGGTTGAATACGTAGTTATCGTCGCTCATGTAGAAGTGCAAATATTTGCTCGGTGCGTTGCTCTTACCCCTCCCATGGTTCAACAGAGCAGGTAAACCGTAAACCACTTAGTAGCCTTTTGCGACGTCTCTTGCAGGAAGTGAGCCCATTCATGATTTGGTGTATGTTCTACCCGTCGAATCTGAGCGTGCTCTTGCTACTTTCGGTTGAAGTCTGTTCTTTTTCTGCCACGGCGAAGAGCGTCCATGAATGCTTTCTGCTCCACCTGATTGGCGGGTACGCAAACCCATGTCGAATCGCAGGTTCCAAGTGGCTATGTAATCCAAGTGTTGCTAACATCGAGTAAGCCGTTCTTCTCTGAAGTTCCGCGGCCATTCGTCTCAAGGGCCAAGCACTAGCCACGACATTGAGGAAACACTTCGGAAAGATGGTGACATCGATGTGCGTGCTTGTTCCATTTGAGCTGTAGCAGGTAGGGCCAGCACCACGGAGCGCGCTGGAGGGCACCATGTCCATTTATTCCAAGCGTTTGAGAAACACATCAGCAGCACATCTTTGTCGTAGTTTGGGGGGGTGCATCACCAATACACCGAGAAGACAGTGGTTGCTGATATTTTTGCCCTTGTTCCCCAAACAGTGCTTGCACTTCGGGGCTCTTAATTGGCTTCGCCATCTCGGGGCGAGTGGCGGCTTTCGCGGGCGGTGCCGCCCGTCGCCGCCGTCGCCATCGCTGTCGCCGTCGCCGCCGCTCGGTGCGAGTGGCGGCTTTTGCTGGCAGTGCCGCCCGTCGCCGCCGTCTCCGTCGCCGTCGCCGCCGCTCGTGGCGAATGGCGGCTTTTGCAGACGGTGCCGCCCGTCGCCGCCGTCGCCGCTTCTTCCTGAAATAGACACCTACCCCCTCCCCTCCCACACGGGATTATCGACACCACTTTTCGTATTTCAATTTACGTACGATTCTGCCCCATCGTCCACCCCACATATGAGTTCATATCATCCCAGCCAGGACGGTATCGGCCCTCCCTGCCATCATTCTGTTTGCCAGAACTGGTTTGCGCGCGCCTTCGTTTATCAAACAGCATCAGTTTCCAATAACCCTTTGCAACACAACAGAATAATAGTGCACACGCGCGCGTCGTCGCGCGCGCACGCCGGAATCCATCGTCACGCGCAGCCGGGTGTTTTCGTTAAAATTTCAAAATCTAGTTTGCCTAACATATATCGACATATAAACACATGGTTTCACAACACGGGTTTCCCCAAAAAACTTGCGCGCGCGGTCCTACGAATTTTCTGGAAGACAATTTGTTTTTTCACCATTATCACGACATGCTACCAAACGGGCTTGGCGCGCGCGCGTGTCGAAATCGTTCGGTCGCCCTTGAACGCGTGCTGGGGTGGCACGGTCCATGTCAAGTCATACCATGCGGGCCACCTCCCGCGCGTCTGCCACGCGCGCATGTCGAACTCCTTCCAAAACGTTGATCACCCACGCGAAGACGCGTCGTCGGCGTGATCAGCATCGGCGCCGTCACTGGCTGCCCCGTCGTCGCAGTCAGCATCGCCACCATAATCGCTATCAGCATCATCGTGTCTACCGTTGTCGACGTTGCCATGATACCGCGCCCGCTTAAGTCGACGACTCGCACTGAAGTGCCCTCTGGGGTGCGCCGAACGGTCAGGGCCACCGCTTTCGCGTCGGTCGCGCCAAGCTAGCTGGCCGCTGCGGGCGCGAGCATGCGCGGGCTAGCGCGGCCGCAGAGATGCACCAACCAACACCAAACATTCATCGCAATCGTTCCCGCATGGGTTTTGGAAACCAACTTGCTGGTGGGTGGGTGGGATGAGTGCACGAGCAATGGAGTTGGCAACTTCAAATTTGGCAAGTGAATAACACCAAACATTGCATTGCATAGGTTTCCGCGCGTAAATCGCACCACGTGGACTACACCACACAGTTTGCATTACACACGTTGCATCGCGTATGTTCTCCTTTTCTAAAAAGAGAATCGGCTTCCCCCCCCCCCCCCCCCGCCCGGATTATCGACACCCTGGTTCGTATTGCAATTTAAATACCATGTTGCCCCATCGTCCATGTTAACCATGAGTTCGTACCAGTCCATCCCAACCAGGATCGGCCCCCCGTCATCCTCTGCAAAGATACTGTGCGCGCATTCGTTTATCAACAATCAGTAGTTGTCAAGGAGCTCTAGCAACATATAAGACGAATCGCACACGCGCGCATCGTCGCGCGCGTATGCCGAAATCAGTCACAAACGTGAGGTTGCGTAATGGTTTCAAAATCCACGGTCCAAAACCTATATACCACATGGTGTCACAACACGGATGTCCCCAACAGACTTGCGCCTTCGGCCTTGCGAATCCTCAAGAAAACCGCAGTTGTTTTTTCAACATATTCACGAAATTTTGCAAATCGGGCTTCGCGCGCGCATGTCGAAATCGTTCGCGCGCCCCTGCGCGCGTGCCGTCGGGAAAATGCTTTGCAAACAAGCGGGACGAAGTGCGCGCGCGTCCTCGCGCGAAAATTTCGGAATCCGTCAAACACATTTTTTTTGTTCGCGACGATTTCAAAACGACTGCCTAAACACATATACAAATTCATGGTTTCGTACGTTTTCAAAACAGCGTGCGCTCGAGGTCTTGCGCAATTTTGAGAATATCATATGTTTTTTCCAACCTGTTCATTGTAGTCTGGCACACGTGCCTCTGGCGCCGCATGCCAACATCATTCGCACGCCCTTGCGCGCGCGCTTCGGGGGCACGACCCGTGTCAAATAAAAACCATGTTGGCCACTCTCGCGCGTCGCCCGCGCGCGCATGTCGAACTCTTTCCACAACCTTCATCGCCGACGCGAGGACGCCGTCATCGTCGACGGCGTGATCAACATCGGCGCCCGCACTTGCCGCGCCGTCGTCATTGCCAACATCGTCACCCGTATCGCTGCTATCAATGTCGTGTCTACCATTGTCGACGTTGCCATGATACCGCGCCCGCCCAAGCCGCCCCCTCGCAGTGAAGTGCCAACTGGCATGTGCCCGGCGGTCAGCGCCACCGCGGCCGCGTCGGTCGCGCCAAGCTAGCTGGCCGCGGCGCGCGCGCGCTTGGGTTGGCGCGGCCCCAGGCATGGAGCAGCGAACACCCAACACGCATCGCAATCGCCACCTCATGGGCTTTGCAAACCAATCTGTGGGTGGGTGGGTGGGGTGTTCGCAAGAGCTTAGGGTGGGTCAACTCGTTTGTGTAAATCATGTGCACCACATGTATTGCGCCCCGTGTGTGTAAATGTATACGTATGTATGTATGTGCGTATATACACATGTATATATGTATATGTATACGTATTGCACCGCATCGGTTGCACGACATGTGTTACACCGCATACATTGCACCACATTGTTTGCATCGCAGATCTTGCAATAACCTATTGTGTGGTGTCCACGCTGGCGAACATTGCGTTTCAATTCCAAATTCAAGACGAAGTCTAAGCACACAAATTGGAATCAATTGTGCGCCCTCTAGGTTGGTAGTGTTTGAAACCACTTGGTGGATGTATCACCTGTCGAGCGTAATGTGACGAATATGGTAAGCACATGTTGCAGATGCCGAAGTCAAATTGTTTGTTGCGAGCTCTGATCGTTAGCCCTCGGTCAGTTGCAATTTTTGGCGCGCTCAACACGTTCGTCCTGTCCCTTTCCGGGGGATGCGGGGCCCCAGAAATCCAGAATGATGGAGCACCCTGCAGATATGTTAAAATCGGGCCATCGCTTCCAACAGAGTAAAACATATCACCTCTGAGATCTTGCCCTTCTCTGTTGTGCCACTTCCGAGCCATGCTGGCACTATTGTGCTCCATGCAGACGGCATCAATGTTTTGCGTGCTCTGGGCTATCTCCTGCAATCGAGTAACACAACTAGAAGAACAGATGTTGCATTGTAAGACTGAAGCATGCTGCATCTTGACGGGTGAGGTCAGCAGCCAGCGAACGAAACAATTGATGCGGGAAAGGAGAAAGCAATGCCGCATTAACCGTACATTGCACAATACTTGATTGCAGAAGATGTGGCAGCTATGCTAACAAAAGCGTGTTTCAAGTATGGAAAAAAAGCAAGCGCCCGAATCGAGGCACTTGGGAGGAGGAGGAGGAGGAGGAGGAGGAGGAGGAGGAGGAGGGAGGAGGTGGAGGAGGAGGAGGAGGAGGAGGAGGAGGGAGGAAGAGGCGGAGGGGGGGACGGAGGAGGAGGGAGGAGAAGTGGAAGGATGAGGAGCAGGGCGGCACGACCACCAGCCCGACAACCACGACGACCCTATTACGCGACCACTACCATGACCACCACGACCACCTCTGGCATGACGACCATCACGACTGCTACGACGGGACACGACCGCCATCACGACCACCACCACGACGACCCAACGACCGCCCCCCGCCAGCTTCCTTCATTCCATCGGCCTGGCCGCCCCTGCCTGCAGAGTTCATGTCCTCTCCCCTCCTCCTTCCCCCCGTTGCGCTCGCACTGCCCTGCCCGCGCAAGTAGTCGCCTAGGGCGTTCGCCTGCGCAGGCGGTTCTTGGAGGACACGCTGTTTTGCCGATGCGTTGTGTTGGTGGTCATTCAATTTGGGCTGGGAGGCCGTATGGATTATCTGGACGTTCGCACAGGGTCGCCCCCTGAGAGCATGTGGGGGCGCCATCCCCGTGACCGGCGGGAGGGATATCTGCAGTGGTGCCGCAATCGCGGTCGGGAAGTTGCAGCAGAGAACGCTTCAAGATCGCTTGGTCTTGCCCTTGCCCAAGACATTTTGCAAGCGTCGATTCATGTCGAGCTTCCTTCATCGAGTGAGGGAGGCCGTGACCATCGTGAAGGCCTTACGGCCGGCGCCGCCGACCCTCAAGGGGGAACCCGAGGCATTTGTGAGGCAAAGAATCGAAGGGCACATTTTCTCTCAGGGAGGGGTGCCCCCCCCGGGGGGGGTCGCAACCCCCGCGATTCTCCCCCCCCGCTGCGGGTCGGCGGATTATCGAGCGGTTGTGGTCATAATCATATTTCTCTGAAGGAGGGATAGGGGAGGAGGAAAAGGAGGAGAAGGGAGGATGAGGAGGAGGATTTGTTGTGCCATCAACGATGTAAAGCAACTCTGAGCGGGCCTGGCCAGCACGAGCACCACAAAGACGCCGAAGAAGACACAGAGCACTTTGCGATAAATGCACTGCACCACGCCATCAACAACGCAACATTCGAGTGAAGGTATAGAGAGGCCCACCTCGTGCATGACGCATGTCGATGATAGCCCCACGGCCTGCATGACGCCGCACACCAGTGGACCAGCACAAAGATGACGAACCGCCTTACCGCAGCAACAAAAGCACCGAAACCCTGCACCCGCCCAGCGCTTGCAGCCCAATGACAGTGCCGATGAGCATCCGTGGGCAGAAGGCGTCACTCAACCACCACGCAAAACGCTATCACATTGTAAATACCCATCGAAAGTAAGCACGATTAATATGGAGCATCTCACAACAATTGCAAGGCAACAATTGACTTCTCCAGAGCCGTAACGGTGAATAAATCTATGAAGCAACGTCCAACCATATACATAAGACAAAGCGATTGCCTTACTTGCCCAAGTGGGCCTGGGCCAGGCTCAGCCACACGAGGACGCCGCGAAGAACCCAGAACACATACATAAGACAAAGCGTCTGCATAATTTGCCCAAGCGGGCCTGGGCCAGGCTCAGCCACTCGAGGATGCCGCCAAGAACCCGGATAAAGGAACGATGCTGATGCTAAAAGCGTTATGGCCCGCGCCGTCGCCCCAGCCGCCAGTGCCGCAAGTCCCACACGGGGAAACCCATAGGCATTGCGGCAATAGCCACTGTGGAAGAGCAGAATGAACCGCATGCCAAGTCGCCAGCGAAGACGAAGATGGACACGCACGCCCCAGGTAGCATACCCCGGCGTTCACCGATGAGGCACATTTTTTAATAAGAAGCCCAGGCACCAGCGCTCAAGTCAGCACACGTGTGGTACAGCCCTGGGGCATCATGGCGCAGGCAGCTAGCTCGTTTGAACCAAAGGTGGCCTGAACCGAGAGGGGACTTGAGAGGATGAGGGGGCGGATGACGAGGAGGAGGAGGAAGGAGGAGGAGGAAGTTGGCGGAGGAGCTAGGAGGGAGAGATGGTAGAGGAGGAGGAGGATGAGGAGGAGGAGGAGGAACATGAATGGCCTCGTCCTTTGCCTCTCGGCCCGATTGTGCAGGTCGATCCTCATGGACTTCACGCCCTCGGGTCAGAGAGGCGCGCGGGGGGGCCGCATCCTCCTCTTTCCCATCCCATCGATCGAGAGGGGGGGAGAGGAGGAAGAATAGATGGAAGGAGAAGCAGGAGGAGGGGTCTGGAAGAGGAGGTTCGAGGATCGAGGTTGTTGGACGTGTGTTTCACGTTGGCCCTTTCTCGGCCTGCGGAGGCTTCCCTCGGCATCCCTTATTTGAGCATGACCACTCCCTGGTTGTATTACAGGCTGCTCTCCTGCGTGGCCCTTCTGTCCACTTTGCGATGCTTGCCATGCTAATTGATTCTGCAGCCCGCGATCGACGTTCGGGCTTCCTTGGGGCAGCTTTTCAGTGCCAGGGCGACCCTCTCGGGGAGCCTGGGGGAGTTCTTGACGGCCGCCAGCGACCCCACCGAGCTGGGCAGATGTTTCAAGTGTTGCCAAGGGCACTCGTTTGGGGATACCGTCATAAGTCGCATATTGCTGCTTCGCCGTCTATGAGCACTCCAATCTGGGACTATGTACGGTTGTGCGTGCAACGACGGTAAGGGGCTGTTGTAAGGCGTCGCCGTGACGAGGTGGGCACCACCCGCGAGGGCTGTTGGAGGAACATATTTGCGGAAGGGGGCACCGCGCAGGGTGAGACTTCTTTGACCACAGCATTTTCGCGAGGCCTGAGCTTGTGCTTGCAAGACGCTGGCGCCCGCCTGGCGGCCAAGAAAGTATGGGTCCACATCCCCAGCCTGGTGGACGACTTACTGCTCGTCACAGCGCCAGAGCACGTCCATGTAGCCATCTCCGTCCTTGAGTGAGAGATGGCGCGCATCAACCTCAGGCTGAGCCTTGCCAAGTGCGCGGCCTACGTATATCCCAGAAAGGAGCGAGAAGGGACGGTCCAGACCCGGCCATCACCATGCTCAAGCAGGTAGTGGGGCTATGGGGTCGAGTCCGAGACCGAGCTGGGGCCCGACTCAGTGGCAGCGCAGTCCGCGTTACGACGACTTGCTGCGGCACGTCGATTGGCCCAGAAGTGCGCTCGTTTCCCAGGGAAGGGCCGAGAGCAGGCATCGTTCCAGACATCGTGGCATCTTCTCAGAGTGGTGCCGAAAGTCCTCGTGCACGACGCCCGCACTTGAGAGCCCGAGGCCAACCTGCTTATGGCAGACCAGTTGGACGCCATCGTCGGTGACGTTGCCCGGACACTCCTGGGAGTGCAAGCCGACGACGGGCAGGCAAAAGGCATGTCTGTTCAGCTGCAGTGGCCACCAGGCCTCGGCGGCATGGGTTTCGGTTCGGCGACGCTGGGGGCAAGGTTTGGGCGACTGGCAGCGCTTCTGTAATGCATGCCAGTTGCGCGGCAGCACGTGCGAGCCGTGTTGCCCGACCCCGCTTAGGAGGAGATCCTGAGAGCTATTCCGCTCGACGGCGCCGAGCGAATGTTGGCCTGGCTGAAGGAGGCGCACGGCGTCACTTCGAACCGATCTGGGCGCTCCACAGCACGGTTTCCCTGGTGGCGCAAGAGGCGCAGCAGGTGGACATACTCACCAGGCGCGCGACATCGGAGCACTCCAGCCAGCGCCAAGCCGCAAGAATTGCCCAGCGCAGCCCTGCCGAGAGCGAGCACCGCGAGTGCAAAGCCGCGGCGCGCCTCCGCCACTGCGTGCGCTTGCGGTCGACCGCGGGCACGGGCGCACGGTTGGGTCAACGCTGCCCCATCGACCGAGCACTCCGGCTGAACGACGCGGAATTCCAGTATGGAGTCCGGCGGATGCTTGGCTTGCGGGTCATGCGCGAGACCGCTTGCCAGCACCGGCGCAGCCAGAGGCGAGAGGACGCAGCGTTGTGCGGCAAGCAGTGCGGCCGCTTGGGCGACGCGCGACGGTACCCAGATCTGGGGGTCGGCAGGAGCCTCTACAAGTTGCACAATTCCGTTGCCGCCTGCCTCCGTCGCTTCGCGGCACAGAGCGGTGTCGAGGCAGAGATGGAAGAAGATTGCCCGCCGAGCTTGCAAGGCGAGACCAGCGCCTAAGAAGCAGCAGAGGCCCACATCGATGTCCATCTCCAGGGGCATGGGCCGGAGCTTTACGAAGACTGGGCCGAAGACACCGCCACGAATATGTTCAGATCGCCCAGGAGGAAAGGAAAGGCAACGCCAACGGATGCCCACGCAACGCAGGCCGCGGGGAAAGCCAAATTCACCAGGTAATTATGGGCAGGGCCGGGGAGGAGAGGCAGTCTCCCATTTGGGCTTGGAAACATTCAGCCGCCTTGGGCGGCCCACCCCCCCGCTGTCCTCGAGAAGCTTGCCCTCCAGTGTGGCGTGCGCGGGGGCGGGCAGCCAGCGCGCAGCGTGCGACGGTGGCGCGCTGCGATCAGCGCGGCGGTCGTCCGGTCGCTCGCCGAAAAGATCGCCAGCGCGGGCATGGAGCATGCGGAGCATTGAACAGTCGCAAATAGGAGCGCCGTCGGACTTTCTTGTGTAGTCGCGAGCACACAAGGGGTAAGCAGGATGAAGACTGACAATGCGGAAAATTAATTGGGTGCGCAGGATGCGCAGATTGATTGGGAAGCGGGGTGGGGCGGATGTGGGAGGGAGGGAGAGAGGGGAAGGAAGGTGAGGAGGAGGAGGAGGAGGAATAGGAGCAGGAGGAAAACGAGGAGGACATCCGCGAAAATTCCAAGCCCACCGCGTGAAGACTGCGGGGAGCGTGAAGCCTTCAACAGTTTTCAACAGGGTGGACTCGCGGATCGCAGGCCAAAGATGTCATGAAATCGGCGCAGGGACAGGCACTAGACACAACAACAGCAAGACAATGCATAATCACGAGGTCAAGTGAGGGAGGCCCTGAATCTCCTCCTCATCCAGCCGCCGCGCGTTCCAGACGCCGCCGGCCGTCTGCGGAAAGCGGAGACGTCGGCCTTGTGGCGCGTTCTGCGGGCACATGCGCGGCCGCGGGCCAGGAGGGGAAAAACGCGACACACAAACAAAAACACGTGTTTCGCGTCACGGCCATTGGCGCAGCAACGCGGCGGGAAAACGACGTACACACACACGCATACACACACGCATTTTTTGACGAAGCGCTAGTGACTTCCAGCCAACGGGCAACACGGTGGAGGTGCAACCCTCGAAATTCTAGACGTTTCGCGTAACCCCAGCAGTCTACCCGACAGGCTGGGGCTGACGTCCTCGGGCCGTTCCCTTGTCCGCACCTGGACGTTGGAACGTTATCGCGCCATTTTGGCTGCGCTAGGTCGTCTCGGTGCCTGGCTGGTGGACGCACCTGCATGCCCATTCAGGGGCTGTCATGGCACCTGGATTGCATCGGCCTCGCCCCCTGGACGCTGTCGTGAGCCGCCTGATCCGCGGCCCTGCGCGCGTTAGGTAATTTAGTCGCGTCCGCGGCCCGTTCGCGACCTTCCGCCGCTGGCGCTTCCGCCTGCGGCTGTAAAAAAAAAAAGTAACCCCAGCAGTGCGCTCTAGTTTGCTGCTCGCTGAAAATTAATAAGGACCGCGCCCCGGACTTACCGACCCGCCGCTTGCGCCTTCGCTTGCGGCCGCGACCCCAAAAAATAACCCCAGCAGCATTTCCCTGATGGCTCCAGGAGGGCACTTACCACCTTACCACTCTGCTCATCCTGTGGCCGTGGAGACGGTTTGCTGGATTGTATGTCGCGTGCGTTTGGTGTGCGTTCGTGGTTCCCCCCCCCGTACTTCATGTCCCTGCTCTTCGGCAAGGTACTTCGACCTTTTTGCCGCCTGAGCCTGATCCCCTGCGCGCCCGCCGCCTTTTCCTTGTATCCTTCGTCCCTCGTTTTTTTCCCCCCTTTCGCCTTCTTCCTCTTGTTTTTCGTTCGCCCTCGCCCCTGCCGCGCTGCCGCTGCGCATCGCCTGGTAGTTATCTTCACCATCGTGGCCTTCTTTTCCTGCGCTTCGCTGGCGACCGTTGCATTGTGCGCCCTGGCCCTGTGCTGCTCGACCCCTTGACGGTGCGCGGCTGCTTCCGCGACACTCGCAATCAAGAAACGCAACCCCAGCAGCCTATCCAGAAACGATGTCCAGAGGAATTGCCTCGATCAGGGAAGTGAGCAGCGCCCAGAGGAAGGGTCCCCCAGTGGAGGCCTCTTGGAGCGTCTTGGGGGCCTCTTGGCGGTCCAGGGCGCCCGTTAGAGCGTCTTGGGTGCGTCGGAGAGCGTCTCGGGGCCTCCTGGGGGTCTCTCGGGAGCCTTTTGGAGGCCTCTTTGGGCGCCTCTTGGGGCCTCCTGGGCGCCTCTTGGATGCCTGTTGGAGCGCTCTTGGGAGCTTTGGGAACGCTCTTGGGGCCATGTAGGAGGACATCGATCAAACAAGGTGGGGGGGGGGGCATTATTTAACGCTGCCCCCCGGGAGCCCCCCCGAAAATCGCTTCTCGGGGCGCTATTGGAGCGCTCTTGGGCGCTTCGGGGGCCGTCTTGGGTTTTTTTTCGGAGCCCTCCTGGACCATCTTGGAACCATTTTGAGGCTTCGGATGGCCACCGGAAGCGAAACAGCGAGAAAGCCAACACCGCTCATGTTCCTAAGGTTTTGGAAGGATGCTGGCCTCTCCAGGGCCTCCTGGGGGAGCTCGTTGGCCACTTGGGGCGATCTTGGAGCTGTCCTGGGGCCTCTTTCTTAGAGCATCGTGGGAGTCATCTTGAGGCATGTTGCATTACCTTGAGGCATTTTGGAGGTCGTCTTGGGCTCTCCCAGGCGCAACTGGGGCCATCTTAATCAATGCCTCCCCCACGAGGCCAACATGTGGCCAACATTTTATTCTGTAGTAGAATCAATGGTTTTGGCATTCTCGCCGAGGCCTCTTGGAGCGCCGTGGGTGCCTCTGGGGGGCCTCTTGGAGCCTCTTGGGGGTCTCTTGGGAGCCTGTTGGGGGCATCCTGGGGGCCTCTTGGAGCCTCCTGGCCACCTCTTGGGGCCCTTTTGGGGCACCTTTTGGGAGCCTTGGGAGCGCCGTTGGGCTCTCTAGTTCGCCTCCCCCTGTCAGGAGGCCAATATGAGGCCCAGACCTAAGTACAACCAGTGATGTTGGCTTCCTCGCCGAGCTCGTTTTGGACGTTCCAACTACCCGCGGAACCCCCCGTCCAGGTCCAGGGGAGGGGGTTGGGGGAGGGTTCAAAACTCCCTCCCCGCCCGGAAGCTGTCTCGCTCACTCCCACCCGCCCTACCAACACATACGTAGCACCCGAGCCTGGCCCGAACCGCAGCATATTCAGCAGTCGTCTTCGGATGGGCAGCTACGGGGGGCGAATCCGCCGCCGCCGCCTCCCCCGCCGCCGCCGCCCGCCGACGCCCGCCGCCGCCGCCGCGCTGCCGCGCCGCCGCCGCCGCCGCCGCCACCCCCGCTGCCGAATCGCGGCCGCTGCAGGCGCTGCCGCCGCAGCCGTTGCCGCCGCAGCCGCTGTCGCCGTCGCCGACGCCGCCGCCGCCGCCGCCGCCACCGCCGCAGCCACCGTAGCCGTTGCCCCCGCCGCAGCCGCCGCCGCCGCCGCCAAGTGTACGGTATAGTGTTTGTTGACAAGGATGGTGGGGAGAGGCCGCATCGGGTTCGCTGCGCATGCTCCCAATTTGGAGGCAGAGTGTGTGTTGTATTGTTTTTTTGCAAGGGATGGTGGGGGGGGGCGCCCGCATTGATTCCGGTTGGCTCCCAGCCGCTTGGGGGAAGGGATGTATACTAATAGGGAGCAGTGATCAAGACACCCCCCTAGACCGCAAACCGTTTCGCTCACTCCCACCCGCCCTCCCGCCACATAAGTGGTACCCGAGTCCCGGCGTAGCCAGTGGTCGCCAGTGGATGGGCAGCCACATGGAACCACAGCGGACGCCAGGTGCGCGACGTTCGCCGCAGGCCCACTTGCGGCTAGTGTACCACCATTGCCAATAGCAGCATGATGCCCCCCGCCCACATGGTCCAGATGCTGAAGTGGGAGCGTCAGCCTTGTTCCAGGCCTGCGCACAGCAAGAGTCATCATGCGGGCCCCACCGCCGTCCTTGTCAATAAAAAATACAAATTGATCGCGGGTGGCCAGCACAATACCCAAGACATTGTCGCAATGTGCATTTCGTGTTGTTTTTGACACGGTGGTGGTCCTGCACAAAGCGGTTTTACTAAGGGTGCCCCGCCATCTCTGTCAAACATAATGCAACGTGCTTACAGGGCGCCAGCGCACTGTCCAGGTTTTGCTGCAATGTGCATTGCGTATTGTTTTTGAGAGGGATTGCGAGCGGTGTTGGCAGGGTGGGCCCCGCAATGTGCATTTAGTTTTGTTTCCTGACGGGGATGGTGGGGGGGCCTCAAGGTGTGCGCATGGTGCCGGGTTGGCTGCCGGCCGGGTGGGGGAGGGGGTGTTTATTAGTAAGGGACAGTGATAAACCCCTCCCCGACGGGGAAGAAGGGGGTTGGAAGAGGACGCTCCCTAGACCACCTACGCCCTAAAGGGATGGTGGGATTCTACGTAGACGCTTCGCGTAACCCCACCGGCCCTGGAGCTCTCTTGGAGCCCCCTTGGGCCATCTTGAGGCCTCGGATGGCCATCGGAAGCGAACAGACGAGACAATCAACATAACTGGTTTTCCTAATGTCTTGGAAGGATTCTGGCCTCTTCGGGGCCCTCTGGGGATGCTCTTTGGCCACTTGGAGCCGTCTTGGAGCGGTCTTGGGGCCTCTTGGAGCATCGTGGGAACCGTCTTGAGGCATCTTGGGATATCTTGAGGCATTTTGGAGGTCGTCTTGGGCTCTCCCAGGCGCTCTTGGGGCCATCTTAATCTGTGCCCCCCCCCCCCCCCCCCAAGAGGGCAACATGTGGTCCAAACCTTAGTAAAACCATTGATTTTGGTTTTCTCGCCGGGACTCTGGGGTCCAAACCTTAGTAAAACCTGAAGAGCGTCTTGGGTGCCTCTGGGGACCCTTTTAGGGGGTCTCTTGGGAGCCTCTTGGGGGCATCCTGGGAGCCTCTTGCGGGCCTCTTGGTGCCTCCTGGCCACTTCTTGGGCCCCCCCTGGGGCACCCTTGGGACTGAGCCTTGGGAGCGCTGTTGAGGCAATCTCGGAGGAGATCGATGAAATAATGGGGGTTCCCCAGTTAGCCTCGCCCCCCACCAGGAGGCCAAAATGGGGCCAACACCGTAGTAAAACAAGTGAGTTAGGTTTCCGCGCCGAAGCCGTTTTGGACACTCCAACTGCCCGCGGAATCCCCGTCCAGGTCCAGGGGAGGGGGTAGGGGGAGGGGCAAACCCCTTCCCCAAAGAGGAAGAGTGAGGGGTGGAAGGGGACGCTCCCTAAACCACTTACGCCCGAAAGGGCTGGTGGGATTAAGAAGTCCCTCGCGCGCGCAGACGCACGAAGGCACGACGCTGACATACGAGGGAACGAGTCGGGGAGGGCAGGCAGATACGGCCAGCAGCTCGAAACTCGATGACCCATCCCCACCAGCGCTCAGTATCCACAGGACCCTTTGATTATGTATGTGTCCGCCACAGCTCGGGCAAACCAGCGATGTAGATTCCGGTTGGGCAATCTCTCGCGCCACAGGAGGAGAGGGGGCGTTCCCGCGCCGCCTCAAAGGGCCAGATAATTGAGCAGGGGCCCCTCCGCTGTATTCAGAGCGCTGTCGTCTCCGCCACAGGGCTTCAGCACGATTCGCCGCACTTTGGGCGAGGACATCAGGGGGAAACTAGGGAGGGGGGGACGGGGATGAGCAAGAGGAGGAGGAGGAAGAACAGCGGCAGATCGTTGGGGCTCACCTTCAAACGGACCAGAACTCTCCCCCTTTGCGCTCACCACATGCGAGCGCGACAGAATAGGATCCATGGAGCTCGTTTGTTTGACCAGGTATTCCGCGAGGTACCTGCTCAGGGTCAGCAGGGTGTACGGTTCTGGACTTCGCGATTATCTCAGCATTGCGATTCGACATATGGATGAACGTCATCATTATTGTCGCGAAGACAATGCACCGTTCAAGCGGATTGTTTGAGGAGTCTTTCAACGCCTCGAAACATTGTCCCAGTCCGCGAGGGCTGAATTGGCGTTGGGCCCGTGGGAGTAGTACCCACTTCCAAGTGAAAGTTTGATGCCGAGTAGCGCCATTGGCGCTTTACCAATCTGACAAAACTGACACCTGGTCAAGCTTAGGACAGTCGGAGGAAGGAACCGCGCAAAGCGCTTTAGGGGGGCGGGAACCCCTTGGAGGTACATGCGGAGCTTCCACCCAGGAGTGGCTGGGTGCTTGAGCCACCCGCACCCTTGGGAGACGGACATGATCGTCAGCAGTTCAATCATTGATAAGAGGAAGACCGGGAAGAAAGGACGGAAGGAAGGAAGGACGCAGGAGGAGGGGGTGGAAGAGAAGGGGAGGAATGATGCAGAACACATAATAAAGAAGAGTACGCGGTCGAGGACGATGACACAGATTTTGATGACGAGCAGGAGAGACTAGAAGGTGGAGTAGGGAGGAGGGCGGAGAGGACAGGGAGGACGAGGAAACAAGGAGAAGCGGAAGGGGAAGGGCCCAGCATCTCATGTGATCATGGTTATTGATTCAGCATCGGGACATGTGCGACATATTTGTTGCAGCGCGCCGCGTGTTAGAGCGTTGGCCTTCAACAGGCTTAGGGCGTTGGCCTCCAGTAGGTACATCATTACGATGAATTGCGGTCATGATTCCAACTCGCAGTGCTACCCTTTCGTGCGACCCTTTCTTGGTGAAGCATCATGTGTGGTGTGATCCCTCCATCTCGGCGCTTTGCAGAGGTAGGGTCGGTTTTGACTGCTGTGGATCTGGAGGTCGCTGGAACGCCGTGGAGAGCTTGACTTCGATGACATGGAGTGGCAGCGCATTCTTCGGGGTGCTTTGCTGCGTCTCTTACTTGGTTTTCAGAGTTGGAGCATGTCTGTGGCATGATGGGATCGTTGACGTTGCAAGTTTCTGATCGCGGTCCAGCTTGAGTGTTCTTCCTGAAGGGCACCCGTTTGGATACATTGCTTTCCTCCTCCGCCCTTCCGCAGCCATCGGCCGAGTCCATCCTGAGACAAGGCTTGTGTAGCGCCCTCCTGGCAGATTTGTCACTTGTCCAGGGCCCAGAATGGTATAGTTGCCAGTTCCAGATTTTTCCTTTCCACTCCTCCCTCGGTCTTGGCCCATGGCGTCCCAGAGCCTGACAGGGAGGCCCTGGTGGTCCACAAGTGGTTTCAGACAAAGCCTCCCTGTTCCAGGGGAGGTGAGAGGATTTCGCCACCAGCGCAGCGTACACAGAGGTCGCTTTCTTCAGTATCCCCATCCCCGAGCGCGGGGTAAGTTTGTCGGCGGCACTGGCCGGTCACCGGGGCTATAACCGTTTTACAGGATTGATCCGGTGACCTTCACAGGCTCGCGTTGGCCTCATTGTGTTGTGCCGTCGCTGCGGTGTCCTGTCTTGCCTTGTGCCCTCTTCTCTGCCCCCCAGAACAATTCGCGCGTGCACCAACGGGTTGCTACTTCAATTTCAAAGCAATTGGTTTGCGCTGCCGAGCTTTCGCCAAGCGCGCGCCCGTGGGCGCCTCGTGGGCGCCCCGCTCGGCTTGCGTTTCTCGATTTTCGGGCGGCATGCGCCCGTGGGCGCGTCGTGAGCGCCCCGTGCGGTGGCCGTCGATTCGGTGTGTTCGGACGGCGGGCACTTCGTGGGCGCCTCATGGGCTGGCTGGCCTTCCTGGCTTGCTCCGCGGGCGCCGGGTGAGCGCCCCTCGCAGTGATTGGCGTTTCCGGATCCACGCATTGATTGCACCACGTACTTTCCCACCCATAGATTGCGCGACACGTTGCGCACATGAGATTTTCTGTGCACGAGATACTGGTCTCTACCCCACGCAGAGGCCGCACAGGACTCCCACCCTCCGCGTATTGGTTTGAAACGTTTTCTCCCGCGTAATGGCGCGTAAGAACCGCGCGAGGTGAGGGCACGCTGGACTGAGAAATGTGTTTTTTTTTTTTTTGTTTAAAAAAGAAGAATTGTAAAACCCCCCCAAAAAAAACATGCGTGCGCTCGCGCTCCCGCGAATTCTTGAGGCAACCATCGGTTGTTCAACATATTCATAGAATTCTGCCAAACGGGCCTCTCGAGTCGCATGCCGAGATCATTTGCGCGCCCTTGTGCGCGTGCTGGGGGGAGGGGGGGATCCGTGTCAAATAACACCGTGCGGGCCACTCTCGCGCGTCGGCCGCGCGCGCGTGTCGAACTCGCTCCAAAACCTTCATTACCGACGCGAGGACGCTGTCATCGTCGCTGGCGTGCGTGATCAGCAACGGCGCCGTCATTGGCCTTGCCGTCGTCGTTGTCACCATCGCCACCAGCACCGTTAAGACCATCATCGTGCCTAGAGTTGTCGACGTTGCCACGATGCCGCACCCGCCCGAGTCGCCAACTCTTATTAAACTGCCCGTTGGGAAGTGCCCAGCAGTCAGCGCCACCGCGGCGGCGGCGGTCGCGCCCAAGCTAGCTGGCCGCTGCGCGCGCGAGCATGCGCGGCCTAGCGCGGCCGCAGGGACGCATTCCAGGATTCATTGCAATCGCCGCCGCATGGGTTTTGCAAACCAAATTGCGGGCGGGCGGGTGGAATGATTGCGCGAGGAGTGGAGTGGAAAAATCATTGCGAACAACAGTTACATTGCAGTACGTAGGTTGCACCCCATGGACGGCACCAAATTGACTGCACCACGTATATTGTGAGGGCCTCCCGCCAGTGCCGCCGATCAAGGGGGCTCCAGATTCGGTGATCTTCGCGGCTCTGTGGCCTCCTCCCTCGATTTTTCCGGTCCTCTTCTTTTCTGGGGGGTGCCTGGAGCGGTCCCGGGGGGGGTCCGGGGAGGGTTCCGAGGGGAGGGTCCGGGGGGCGGTAGCAGCTAGATCTGAGGGGGCCGCCCCCCCCCCCC